AATTCTTAATTATTCTTATTAGCTAGCCTTAATGTACCTTCCTATTAAAGGAATACTATAATAATAATTGTTTTTGATACTGCTCTATGAATACTAAACTTTTAAATGATTATAATTTACTTTCCATCTTTTCATTTATGGTTTGAATTTTCTGAAATAATGTTTTGAGTGAAACTAATTCAGGAATTCACTAGAGAATTTAACAAAAATATTAATTCAAATACTAAAAAGCAATGAGTGAAATAGTAAAATTCAAAATTTATAATGATATGATATTTGCCATAGAAAAATATTAAAGTAGGTTTTCAATCTGATTACTGCTTAATTAATAGAATATCTTAATGAAATTTTGCTATATCAATTCATCAGCAATGACACATTCTAGCTTTTCCTCTTCTGATATACTTTCTCTAAAGTCTGAAATACTCAAATTTTTAGGAATATTTGTAAATCGTATTTTACTGGGACTGCATCTTCTACCTGAGATTGGAATTGATTTTACAAATATAAAATGAATCTATTGTTTAGTATTTTTATTATTTATAATAAACCAGAGAAGTTCAAGATGTAATTCAAATGACCTACTATTATTACCAAAGTATTATTTCATAATATATTAGATAATTAGAAAAACCAAAAAAAACTAATTCCTTATAAGCAATCCATTCTGAAAGTGAATAAACATATAAAGTAAAAAAAACAACAAAATATATAAAGAAAATTGAACCCATATAATACTTTGAAAAGCAATAATAAGATTTGTTCTATTCCTTTTAAAGTAACTAACTCAAAAGAGGAACTTAAAGAAAAAAAGAAAGAATCATAAATCAAAAGGCAAAATATTATTGCTGAGATCTGAAGCAATCAAGCATAAGTAAAAAAAATAAAAAAAAACAAAATAAAAAATACAACTAAAAATAAACGATTACTGAATACTTCTAAAGCGATCCAAACTGCAAAAGAAACACAATTATTAAAATAATTTATTAAAATATAATCAGATTTCAGTATATTCCAAGTATATTTAAATAATTGTGATCTTTGGTAAGCTAAAACTGATAAAATAAATACGCATTTCTGGCAACTCCATCGCATAATCATGCAAATAAGTATATCACACAGATCACTGTGGTTAAACTAAAGAAAAAAATAAAAATAAACAAAAATGAAATTAAAAAAAGACACTTCACGTTTGAAAAATCTACTTGAAGATTTAATATCAACAGAAGTAGTAATTTTTTTCTTTTTTCACAAACTAATTGAGTTAAAACTATTTTAATAAAAAATTTTAAAGAAAATTATTCTTTTTTTTTTTTTTTGTCCTGTTATTAAAAAAATAAGAATAATAAAAATTCTGCATCAATAAATTGGTAATTAATTAATTAAATGTAACATGTGAAAATGTAAATTTTTTCCTAAACTTTTTTTTGTTATTGATCTAAAGAATCGCTATGACAGAAACTTGAAAAAAATTACTTGTGATTAACCAATTTAAATTGATTCTACCTTTTGAATTTAATTTAATTTCTATTTCAACCTCAACTTTATACCATAAATGGCGTCTTTGAACAATGTGTTCAAAAAAATTAAAAAAATATTTTTTGGATGTGATTGAATTGTATAATAAATGTATAAAAAAGCATTAAGCGAGAAAAAAAAGAATTGTTCCAATGGTAATGATCAAAACATAAGAGATTCAAACCTTACAATCAAATAGTTAACTAGATGAAAATCACTATTATTCTATCACAAAGACTAATTTTCTTTACATTCAACCAAAAACTTGTGAAACTATATAATTAAATTTAATATTAGCCTTGCAAATGCTCCGTTTCATTAGTAAAGTCAATTTGATTACCAACTGAAACTGAGAGAGTTCTGCCTATTGTAAATTCAATCCATCCGATAAATTGAGAAGGATTTGTTAACACACCATTAAAGAAAAAAAGTACTAAAGATATAATAAAATAATTGATGCATAGCTTAATTAGTAGCAAGAATGTGATGATCAGATAAAAATTTTTAACGATTTTGCAAAATATCTGGAAGCGTGTTAACTATTAGTCAAGAACCTTAAAAATAATTCTTTCAACACAGTATAAACAAGACAGAGACGGTTAATGAATTTAAGCAAGCTAAATATTCAAATTATGGAGGATGAAGAGTGAACATTTCTCATAAAGAAATGGTAAATTAATCACAGCAAACATCAAATTTTAACTGAGCCCACAGGAAATTCAATGTCTATATAAGTATTCAGTGACGCGTCATCTAACTAAACAATTTGCGATTCAACCAAGAGAATTAATTGTATTACGAGTTTGAATTCGTGTACCATGATGTGTTAAACAAAAGGCTAGGTATGTAATGTCATTAATATAATATAATAGATTTTAAAAAAAAATTCACGTGTGTCAGAATTAATGTTCAAGTAATAGATGACCCAAAATGTTAAATTAATATCTAAAATATCGATTCTTTAAGTCGACGCCGTAATGTTCAGGTGTTTTCTTACTGTTTATGGTAAGTAACATGATTTTAATTATTAAACCATCGTATATTTAGTTTAAGAATAAAATCTTCGATTATTTGGAAGGTTGAGAATACGTAATTTTCATATGCGATCAATATATATCAATAGTGCCTTACTTTTTGCTTAAAAGAAGTTAACCAAAAAACAGTTCTGCCAAATACTAATTTGCTAATTTTTGCTTCTGAAGAAACGTTAAGTGAGTTTAAAATCTTTATTGTTTATTTTATCTTTTAAGCATAACTTTTACATAATTTTTCATTTAATAATTTATTAAGAAAAAATCTTGACTACAGAAACGAAAGACTTTACTGATCATTACGAACGAAATGGAAAGACTTCTTCGATAATGCTATGCTATTGACTAACGAAACAGAAGACTTTTTACTTCAAAAACCTTAAAAACAAATAATAAGTAATCGAATTAAAACAAAACTTAAATAAGGTAAACGCGAGAAATGTCCATTTCTGATACGGGTAGAACTGTTAATGGGGGAAGTGTTATATAGTCATTTTTATATATCAAAGCAAGTTAATCTTTTAAATAGCGTTGGCTTTGATAAAAATAACACGATGCAGAGTAATTTATTACAAATTGTCCCTTTATTATTGACTATATAATAACCTCTTAACCCCTCTGCTGATGTACTTTGGCGACGCTCACTGAGTAATGTTCTAAAAATCCAGAACCTAAATTAGTGGTTCCATTGGTACTGACTGTTCTTCCTTAGAAAGTAGTTAACCACAGAAGTTACTCATGTGCGCCCTTTATTTTTATTTTTATTTAAACACAGAAACTGACGATTCCGAACATTTTCTGATCACGCTAACGTTACCGACAACGAAACGAAGGGCTTTTTGCTTCAAGATCCAAAATTTAAGGTAGATGTGAGAAAAGTCCATTATTAATACGAGTAGAACTGTTAATGGAGAAGTATTTTATAGTCATTTTTATATATCAAAGTAAGTTAATCTTTTAAATAGTGTTAGCTTTGATAAAAATAACATGATGCAGAGTAATTTATTCAAATCGTCCCTTTATTATTGACTATATAATAACCTCTTAATCCCTCGCTGATGTGCTGCTGATGTGCTTTGGCAGCGCTCACTGAGTAATATTCTAAAAATCTAGAATCTAAATTAGTAGTCCCATTGGTACTGGCTGTACTTCCTTAGGGAGTAGTTAACCACGGAAATTACTCACATCCAACCATTTATTTTTATTTATTTAAACATAGAAACGGACGATACTGAGCACGTTAACGCGATGACAAAGAAACGAAGGATTTTTGCGTCAAGATTTAAATTCAAGGTAGATGCGAGAAAAGTCCATTTCTGATGCAGGTAGAACTGATAATGGGAGAAGTGTTATATAGGTAATATCCTAAAAAAAATCCAGAGCAATTTGAAGTAGTCTATTGGTTCTGGCTGATCTTCCTTAGGGAGTAGTTAACCGCAGGGTATTATTCAAACCCAACTCTTACTTTTATTTTAACATAGAAACGGACAATTCTGATCACGTTAACGTGATAACAACGAAACTTTATTTCATATTATATTCGTGACATGTGACAGGTGACATACGAGACACAGCAAAATTTCTAAATAAATAACAAAGAGAAATTGCAATAATGTTATAGAATTATACATCGCTTTCAAAAATATGATTCAGTAGAACCGTTGCCTTCATTAAGTTATAAACCGCGTTTATTATTAGAAAATATTTTAAAATATTTTGAGTTTCAACTAAAAGGAAAGGTAGCTTGGTATATTTGGGAGTTACAAAATTAAATATATACCAATACATTTTTTTTTTTTCAACAATCGAATCTTTATTGATATTATAAGATCAACGAAAAAATGAATTCGAACTTTTTTTTGTTTGCAACATCATTTTTTATTGTACATTGGCATACTATGCCTTCATTGAATTTCCAAAACACAATAGTTGAAATGTAGATTAAATGATTACAAGTCGTACGTCAATGAACAAATTAAATTATTCTACGTGACTAAGTAATAATTAATCGTTTATATTATTCTCTTGGTTGAATAGTAATCAAATTATATCGAAATTTAAAGGGGAATTAAGAATAGTATGTTGATAAACGACAAGCCAAATTTTTTTTTTTCAAAAAAAAAAAAAAATGATCGCCCCTACACACATTCGACTCGCAAAAATAGCAAATTATCAACATACGTAAGATAGGTAAGTCGGACCTAAAAAGTTCCGTCTCGTCACACTCTTACTACGAAATTTTAAAAGGATATAAAAAAAAAATAGAGAGAGAGGGAGGGAGAGAGGGAGAGAGGGAGGGAGAGAGGGAGGGAGAGAGATAGAGATATATATATATTAAATTTTGAAAAAAACAACTCAGAAATATCGAAATACAGGCGAAACAAAACAGATATACAAGAAACGAAAAGAAAAGAAAAACTGCTACATGATATATCCATGTTTCTTGGGTTTTCAACCAAATAAACAGATAAAATATAACCCTTCGCTACTATCACTAAGAAAAATCATCCAATATTTTGGCAACTGATTACTAGAGGACCATACGAGAGAATGCAAGGTAGGTGAGGATTTTTTTTCTCGATCCTTCAAGCTTTTTAAACTGATCTCGGAACCACCATAAACGGCTATATATTCCTAAATTTCATGCGCAAATTTTCTTGGTATGGTAATTCTGGTTGGGTTATGATCCGCAAAAAGGTTCGGATTTTATCTAGGGTAAATTGCAAATTCTTCACCTCCAGATTAATCTCCTACCGACAAAAATCACGTTATTGGTACATTTATCCTAAAGAAACTTGTAAAATTTTTTCAGTGTTGCAATTGAAAAGAATGCAAAAAATATACCTCTCTTCTACTATTAGGCCATGCAACTTCGATTTTTCGGTTCACGTCATCCGGCCGGTCACTTTTTCAAATTTTAAATTTTAACAAAAAAAAGTTTATATATAAAAGGTTATCATGTGACTACAAAGTTTAATTTGATTGGTAGGTTAAAGTTTTATTGTATTATCGTTATGTATAATTCCTTTCTTTACAACTCATTAGTTTCATGCAGCTTCCCAAGCAATACATTGTGCTGAAATATTTTCTCCAACTAATTTTTTTGATTGGCTAAATTTCACTTCAAAATCTGCTTCCCGCCAGTCAGGTGATAAATATAGAATCAATATATTCCAAAAAATCTTTTTAAGTTTCTTTTTCAACAAGTAAACCTTCAAAACTTTAGATTTTTACATGTAAAATAGACATTTTGACGGAGATTTTGAATTGAAATGTGATTGATCGTATGATTAAGTCGGGCAAAGAAAATTTTTAGATAAAATTTTAAAATTAACACGATCACCCGGTTCTTTTTCATGTATGTTATTTTGCCGCCGCTTACTTTTAAACAAAAACTGGCCGGGTCACAGAATCTGAAATTTTACTTTGCACGGCCTCGGTCCCCTTAAATATTGACCAATCAGATGGAATAATATTTATATATAAACTTTTTTATTAATAAACAATATTCATTAATAAACTCCGAGTCTCCGGGGACGATTCTAAATTTCAATGTTACGTAAACCGAAAAATCGAAGCTGCATGGCCTTAATTTAAAAATTTCAATAATAAATAAAATTTATAAAGCATTAATAGCGGCACAGCTACAGAAATTTAATTCCAACTTTATTATTTTTTTTTACACCTACAATATATAATTATATATTAAAATCGCCGGGCATTGGCTTTTTTTTTAGCTAGTATCAAATGATGTATTATAAAATGTGTAGTTAGCTTCACTTTTCATACGAAAAATGAAGAGTGTGGTTCCAAATTTATTATGTCACAAATCCCAATATAATGATTTTTGAAAAAGTCGATAATTTGCAAATAAAAATTTTCAATGCTAAAAAAGAAGTGGATTTACATATCAATTTTTTTTTTTTTATATTTTGACAATTTACTATAAATTTTTGTGTTGGAAATTTAGCTTTTTTTTATATGAATCTTAAAAATTTATTTAACATAATAGTGGCTTAAAAAGATAAAAGTAAATGCATTTTATTAGGAGCCCGTTCCATTATTTTCTTATTTATTAAGTGTATACCTTTATACGCAGCTTTACCCACAATTGCATCTTCACGAAGAGTACTAACGCTAGTAACATCCATAACAACCCCGAAAGTTCCACTTTTAAGTCGTTCTTTTGCTAAATTTGACTTTCCCATATAGTAAACACCAGCAGAAATCAGTTCCAACTACTGGTATGATCTCAATGACTTGAGCTACTTTATTCTCGGTCTTCTGGTCCGAGTTAAGAACTTCAAGTCCAATCCCCTCATATTTTAAATTCGAAAGCTTAATAATGTTTAATAAAAAATTACAGTAGTGGCGGAAACTAATAATAATTTCACGTGACTTACTATAATAAGCCAGAAAAAAATTCTTTTTAAATTATTTTTTCACATCGCAAGATAAGAAACGGTAAAATGTATAACATTGATTTTATAGAGTTAACATTTAATCAAATGTAATTAACTTCATTTATTTTCAGATTTATTTAATGTAACTAGAAAGAAACCTCGTAGTGGACAAGTCCAAGGCTATCGAAAATGCAAGTCAACTTAATTTGTACATTTTTTTGCTTTAAACATTTACAATGATAAATAATTGCTAAATAAAGGGACAAAAAATTTCCCTTTCATTATTATGACAAAATAATGAACAATGTCTCAAACGAGGTAGAGGAGGAGAAATTAGTCGAATGAAAAAAAAATTTCTTGGTGAGGGAAAATAAAAAATGTATTATACTGTAGTATGTGTTTTATCATTAAGTACCAATCATTTTAACAAGAATAATAATAATTCAATTTTAATAAACTTTGCACGTGATAATGACTGCAAATGGCGTCATTTGATCTTCCAAAAAGAAAATATAATCAAAGTATTAAGTTTTATTCAGGCACTTTTCTTTTCAAGAGAAACGTTTAACTGTTTTGTGTTCTTAATTTTCAATTTTCACGAGGAATCAAACTGGGTGTCAAAATTTCTGAGTATTCCTAGCGACATGTAATTATAATTATGTAATAAACACAAAAAATAAAAACTATGGAGCAGAATTTCTAGAATTTGAATTTCTAATTTTTCAGGGATGCTTTATTTAGTTTAAAAATTGATTTTGTTCATATTTTGTTCAACTGTCAAAATTTCGTTAATCCTCCCTTTGTTTCGTGAGGTATTGATCTTTACTTAAATCAGAATCAAGTATTAATTTTATTAATTTCATGCGTATTTGTGACGACCATCAACAATTTCAATGAAAAGCTTTCATTTTTAATTGGTGGCTGAAGGTGAATTTAATAAACTTGGATTGGTTGCACAAAAATACTAGCATAAAAAATCACTCTTGTGCATGTGTAAACTTTATCATAAATTCTTCTAATAAGAAAATGAGTACCGACATTTTGTTTATAGTCTCATAAACAAAATCTAAATTAATATAAGCAAAGATCAAACAAAATATAAATGCACTAGCACAACTTTTGATATGCATAAATGAACAAAAAGAAAATCGAAATGAAAGTATTACAACACTACTTAGTCATATGATAGATTCATGCGAATTAATACTAGTCTAAATAACGCTTTAAATCTTTTCACACTCTATTGATATACTTGTCTTGTTATATACGACTTTAAATATTCTTTTTAAGGATCGTCTGCTCTATTTAGACCGACTACTACCTCGAGATCTCTTCTTTCCGCGGTATTGTCATTCAAGGTCTTGCTCTACTTAAACTTGTTCTCAGCGAGCATAGGGCTCAAAATATTTATTCCAGTTAGATAAATCAATCAACAAAATCCGGAATTTTTGGAAATTTGTTATCATTCATGTAGCAGCAAAGAATAAGAAAAGATCTTTGATGATGATAATTTTTCTCTTTCTTTTTGGAAATCAGGTATATTATGGAACTTTGTTTATATTTATACACTTAGTTCAGGTTTTGGTGAATCCAAAAATACGTCACCACACGGTCATTGATTTTACCCTCAACGATACATCGAATCTCCCTTTTCATTCCGATATAATTTTCTGAATTTGTATCCTCATGATGAACCTAAAATACCATTTCTAGATGATGATTTATAAATTGGAAATCACTTCCATTCAAACTTACTCCTGCGTGAATTTTCGCTATCGTCGTTATCTCGTTATCATTTATCATTTAAGACTTTAATATACGGAAAGATGCAGCAAGTGTTTCCAAAATCGAGCACCTAGTGGGGTGGACTTTATAAATTTGGGTTATGATCAAATCATAATCGCAAAAACACCAATGTAAGGAGGGGCAGTCGAGAAACACGTCTGAATATTATTGCCCAAACTGTTTGTAGCTAATCAATTCTGGCTGTACTATTTCTCCAGGATACTAAGACTAACATGTAAATCGTTAATCAAATAATTGACATTAACTTTCCTAACATCGCGTTTTTCTAGAATCTCTTGTAAAGTTTCGAGAGCTCTCCCATCCCATCACAATTATCCACTAAAAGTTTTGTTATATATCAGTAGTATCAAGATTGAAATGATATTACAAATGTCGAAGAAAACAATGAAGCAATTGATAGTATGATCCGTGAATTTGTGGTAATCTAGTTATATAATTTGTAGTGTGTCCAGAAATCTGCGGTGGCAGAATCTGTGCAGATCTGACTGCTTAAGCAGAAAAGCTGATTTTCTGATTTAGCAGAATCCGCAGAATCTATTGGTTATGTAAACAATAAAATTAGAGTAAAAGAACAATAACGGTTTTAACGAATCGCAGTTTTTACTTTTAACAATAATATTTTGATTATACATTAATGATAACAAAAAATTGTTAATAATTTTGTTAAAAAATTAAAAAAATGGTTACTGCAAACGATAGAATACAAGGTCCATATTCAACAACAGAATATGAACGAGAATTTTATATTGAAGGCAATTCATTAATGTGCCGAGTTTGTCGAATAGTCTTAAATCATAGAAAAAAATCTATACTTAATGATCATCTTATTTCAT